GCACACACACCCGCACACACACCCGCACACACACCCGCACACACACCCGCACACACACCCGCACACATGCATATTAGATAAGTTAATTTTAAAAAAGAGTAATGGAAGAATATAGTTAAAAAGGAAATATCGGTCTAAGCTTGGTACTGTAATTCCAGTACTTGGGAAGCTGAGGCAGGATGCTTGCCTGGAGTTTGTGGAGAGTGTAGATGTTAAAAGATCAGTCTCAAAGTTTGGATTTGTTTAAATCCCAAATGTCAAAATGCCCTCTTCCAAAAAGGTTACCATTCCTTCTTTGTGTTTGGGGGGAGGAATTTTGTTTTCTAGACAGGGTAGTCTGTGGGGGTTTGAATGTAAGTGTCTCCTATATATAGGCTCATAGATGTGGATGCGTAGTTACCAGCAGGTGCTGCTGACAAAGGCTTAGGAAGTGTGGCCTTGTTGGGGTAGGTGTGTGCTGGGGATGGCTTTGAGGTTTCAAAAGTCCAAGCCAGGCCCAGTATCTAACTCTCTGCCTACTGCCAAAGGATATGGGTGGAAATCCTGCTTCTACTGCACCATCCCTGCCTGCGTGCTTGCATGCTCCCTGCTATAGTAGTAATGGACCAAGGCCCTGGAACTGTAGGCAAGCCCCTGCTAAATGCTTTCCTTTATAAGAGTTGCCTTGAACATGGTGTCTCTCCATAGGAACCAAACACTAGTGAAGATGGGGTCTCACTTCGGAGCCCTGCTGACCAGCTCACAGTGCTCTGCCTGCCTCTGGTTCCTAGTAGATTAGTCCTCGGGATTAAATGCACACGCAACCGTGTTCTGTTTTCTTTTTTTTGTTTTTGTTTTTGTTTTTGTATCTGTCTCCTCTGTAGCTTTGGAGCCTGTCCTGGAACTTCCTCTTGTAGGCCAGGCTAGTCTCGAACTCACAGAGATCTGCCTTCCTTTGCTCCCCCCCCCCCCCAGTGCTGGAATTAAAGACAGGCGCCACCACCGCCCAGCCTCTCTCTCTCTCTCTCTCTCTCTCTCTCTCTCTCTTAAGATTTGTTTGTTTGTTTGTTTGTTTGCTTATTATGTGTACAGTATTCTCAGTATTTTGTCTGCATGTATGCCTGCAGGCCAGAAGAGAGCACCAGATCTCATTGCAGATGGTTGTGAGCCACCATGTAGTTGCTGAGAATTGAACTCAGGACCTTTGGAAGAGCAGGCAGTGCCCTTAACTGCTGAGCCATCTTTCCAGCCCCCTCTGTTTTCTTTAGATAGTATTTCAGACTGGTTTCAGATTCGCTGGATAGCTGAGACGGTTTTGAGCTTATGATCCTTTTGCCTCCACCTCCCAGTATGTGCTGTCAGACCCAGGGGTTTGTACATATATGTCATTTTAGGGTTTATTTGCTTGGGTACTCGCCAGGTATTTTTTAAGATTCATTTTTAATTATGTATATATGTGGGGAGGGTAGGTAATTGTGGGCTTATGGGTGTAGGTGCCCCACAGATGCCAGAGGAGGGCATCCATTTCCCTGGAGCTAGAGACAGTTGTAAGCCACCTGGTGTGGGTGCTCGTAACAAGCTTTCAAATGTAGTTGGACTTTCTTTTGTAGAACTACCAGCTCCCCAGTAACTATACAGAGACTTAATAGTAACTATGAAAGGTTGACCTTAGCTTGGGCTTTTTCCCAACTAGCTCTTATAACTTAAATTAAGCTGTCTCTGTTAATCTACATGCTGCCACGTGGCTTGATTATCTCTGCTCTGTGCTGTATATATGTCCAACTTCTTCAGTCTCCTGGCATCCCCACCTCTCTTCTTCCCAGATCCCTTACCACCACCAGAAATCCGGCTTATTCTCTCCTGCCTAGCTGTTGGCCATTCAGCCCTTTATTAAACTAATCACAGTAACACATCCTCACACAGTGTAAACGAATATTCCGCATCAGGTGCTGGGCACTGAATTCAGACCATTTGGAAGAGTAGTAAATGCTCTTAGCTGCTGAATCATCTCTCTGGTTCCTCCAGCCTTCTTTTCTGTTTGTTTTGTTTTTTGAGACAGGTTTATTTTATTTTATTTTATTTTATTTTGTAGCCCTGGCTGTCCTGGAACTCACTCCGTAGACCTCTGCCTCCCGAGTGCTAGGATTAAAGGCATGCACCACCACCACCACCCAGCTTTTCAGCTTTCTCTAAATATGCTTTGTTTTATGTGTTGCTAGGCTTGAACCCAGGGACTTGTGCATGCCAATCAAGTACTCTGAGCTGCACCTACAGCCTCTAGAATGGTTTCAGAGTCACTGAAAGTTAGGATGATGATATAGAGTGCTCGTGTACCCAGTTTCCCCTGTTTAACACCCTGATCTCCCTACTGTTGGTAGCTAGTTTTCCTCCTTTCTTCGGGGTCCTCGCCTTTTATTCCCTCCCTTCTTCCCATTGAGAATTCAGCACAGAGCCCCGCATCGTGTTCAGTCATCATGTGGCCTTGGGCTCCATTGACTGAGAGTTTCTCAGACTTTACTTGGCTTGGCATCTGTATAACATCTCTCCGTTAGGATTTGACTGGTGTTCTTTATGTGATTGAACCGGAGCTGCGGGACGGTGTGGACGACTGACATGGCTCACTGCTGCTTTTCAGTGTCGTGGCAGTGGTTGTTGGGGTTTTGTTTGTTCTTGTGGTGCTGGGGATGGGAGTCATGGCCTCTCATGCTAGGCAAGCCCTGCACCTGGAGCCACGTCCCAGCTTACAGCTGTTAATGTTGCTGTTGGCCACGCCACAGAGGTAGTGTTTATCAGGTTTTCCCACTCTAAATTTGCTGCTCTTCCACTGAATAATTCACTTTTTGGAAGGAAATTACCACGTGCAGCCCATACCTAAGGATTGAGGTCCAGTCAGGACCCTCCAGGCTGAAGGCAGAGATCTGCAGATATCCACTTAGGGAGATGGTCGCTGTCTACATAAGTGTTTGTCTGTGAGGACAAACCTGTGTGTGTGATCCAGTCTTTCTGTGCCTTGTTGCTGGGACCGTCTGTTGTCCTGGTGATGAGGTCCCATCATCACGTGCCTCCCTATCACAAGTTTTCAGCACTTCCTTGCTTTCTAGTACTGTAAAGTACTCCAGGCTCATCTTGAGGATTTCCTGCTCTTAACCCTCGGGTGTTGCTCCAAGACATCTGCTTTCTTTTGTTGGCTTAGTGTCAGAAAGGAAGATCATGGGGGTGGGGCTGGAAGGAGTCATTCATCTTTGCCTGGTAGACAAAGCAGTGGAGGGCAGTTCTGCTCTGCAAGTGTCCTAAACTCTGTGCCCATCGGTGCCTGTGACATCGCCAAGTGACGCTGTCTGGTGGCCCTCCATCACACATGTAGTCCGTCAGTGGATAGACATCACTGTGCAGCATGAGGGGGAGGGGGTCCAGAGCAATGCCTGAACACGACCATCTGTCCACAGTAAGTTAATCCTGAGATCCAACATGCCCAACTTTTCTCCATCATCAGCAGTCATTCCAGCTTTGTCCACCTTCCTATGCCTTGTTCGTCACCCTTGTTCACCTCTGGCACACGTTATACTGGTGGAGAGTTACTGCTTCCCTGTAGGGCACAGAGGCCCCGTGCCTGGAACTGTAGACTCCACTTGTTTCCAACGGTGCTCCTCAGCACCACCCCACCCTCCACAGAGATGCATTTATAAGTTAGTTGGACTCTGCATTCCATCCTAACCCCTGACCTAAGTGACTTTAAAGATGTATTTTTTTTAATTTACATATATCTATAGTTATGTATATGCAAGTATGTTTAGCTCCCATAAAGGCCAAGGGAAACCATCAGATTTACTGGATTCGGAGTTAATTTTTTTCTTTTTTAGAGTTTTCAATTTTGTGTGTGTTTTGCCTTTGTTTATATATGTGTATCACATGTGTGCCTGGTGCCTGCAGAGGTCTAAAGAGTGTGTCAGGTCCCCTGGAACTAGAGTTACAAATGGTTATGACCCACCATGTGAGTGCTGGAAACCCAACCTCCATTCTCTGCAACAGCATCCAGTGCTTTGAACAATACCCTCTCTCCAGTGCGTAGTATTGTGAGTCTGCCGGAAAATATCCAAAGTAGTTTCGCTGCCTGAAAAGTCCCTGGTGAGTCAGCTGGGGCCCCTGTGCTGAGGACCTCCCCCGCCTCTTTGCAGCCAGCTCCCGCCCACTCCCCTGCTCTCAGGACAGGAGGGGGGGCTGGCGACAAGATGTCTCTGTGCTGTTTTCTGGGCCAGCTTAGCTGTGCCACAGTGCTAAAGCAGTATTAGAATATGCTGGATGCTTAAGAGCTACCCATAGGGCAACAGGGGAGGGGTCCCTGAACAGTATTTGAGGAGAGCCAGAAGGCTGGCATGGCTGTTGTGGGCACAGCCCCTTGTTTCAGTGGGCTTTTGTTTGTATTGGTTTTGAAGATCCTCTTGCCATCTTCATTGAGAACTGAGGCTCACGCAGGGGAGTTTGGTAGCTCAATTGGAGATGTGAAACACCTGGGTATCTTTCAGAGTACCCTATTTTGGTGGTGATGTAGACAGTGGGGGCCATACACTCAGCAAGCCTGACTTGGGGGTGTCAGGTTCAAGTGTGTACAGCCAGATCTTTTTGGTGAGGCTGAGGTGCCGCTCTCAGAGCAATGCAGATTGCTTTTGTGGTAGACCTTCCAAACAGTGGCCACTTCTGACTTCCAGCTGTTTCTGCCTGGGAACAAGTATACCCTCAGCTGCTCTCTTCCTCTTTTTGAGACAGGGTTTGCTACCCAGGCTAACCTCAAACTCACTATCTAGCTGAGGATATCCTTGAACTTTTTATCGTCTGCCTCCATGTTTGAAGTGCTGGAGTTAGAAGTGCAGCTTCTATGCCGAGACGTTCCCTTACTTAACCCCGCATCCGTCAGATCTGTCTGCTCATGGTCTGAATGTTGTGTTGGTACAGAACCCAGTCAGTGCCAAGAACAGCGTGCCAGCAGCTCTGAGGAGACATCTGGGACAGAGGAGGAGGAGGAAGAGCCCAGCGACATCATGGGGCGATGAGGACGTGAGCCCAGCTCATTCTCTGATGAGCCTCAGAAAGGAAAGAGGTTGTGGCCCATCTGCCAGACTGGCAGTGTTGGGAGAAGGCAGGAGCCTCCTGCACCCCTGCTTGTCCAGGGAGCAGAGGGACCATTCCCCAGACGTTTGAAGATTGCCTGCTGTGTCCTGCCCTGCTCTTGCTGAAGGGGATGCTTCACCTTCCCCCTGGTGCCTGTTTCTTTCTACTTGAACAGTGATGAGCTCTGGGCTGGTTTCTGTGAAGGGAATATTTATTTAGTAAAGAGCAGAAAACCTATAGGTTTTGTCCACGTGTTCGAGATGTTACTTACCAGAGCCTCCGAGAAACTGAAGTGACACAGAGACTGGACCTTGAGATTTGGCGGGTCCTCTTTTGCAGGCTCCCTTCCACACCTACCCTTTGGGTGCCCAGCCCTGTCCCTAATGGAACAGCAGACTTCAGCACTGAAGAACTGTGCCCGCCCAGCAGCTCCGAGAACGTGCATGAGCTGACCAGGGCCCTCGGTAGGAGGCTGGGCAGAAGGAGAGAAGCTCCAGGAAGACAACAGGTAATGAAAGAAAGCAGAGGTCACCAGAGAGACGTGGGAGATGGGACAGGTACTGGCCACAGCCTTCCTCCCACCCTTAACTCAGGAGATCTAAACCAGAGGGACTGGAGAGGGGGAGCTCTTCGGGATGGAAAGGCCTCCCTCCTGTCAGTCCTCCCACTGAGTGTGCTTGAGTGACTGTGGTCCAGACCTGCTGTGTGTACGGGTCCAGAGTGCACCCAACACCATGCCAGGGAGGAGGGAGGTGACCCGGGACCACCTTGGTCCTCAGAGCCATTATCAGGCCAGTGGAGTGATGGGCAGTTTCTAGTAGAGCGAGGCTCTGTGTCTGGAGTGTCTCCAGTTCCCCAGTGTGCCATGTGCCTGCTGTGGATGTTAGTAGCACGTTGAGTGAAAGGGAAACTAAGAACGTCTTCTACTTTTGATTTTTGTTGCTGTTCTTTGATAGCTCATACATGTTTGCAATGTACTTTGTTCATGTTTACTCCATTCTCTTAGCCTACCCCACCGGGTCCTTTTCCCCAGCAGACTCGACTCCCCTCCTGCTGTTATGTCGTTTTTGGCATGGCACGTTTTAAGGTTGCCTGAATGAGCTTGGGTGGTCGGTTATTTACCAAAACATGAGAACCTTCCCAGTGGCTGTCCCACTAAAGGAAATGGCTCCCTCTTCCCTTCTTTTACTGCTGTAGCAGATTCCCTGTGCCCACTAAGCCATGTGACGTCTAGCCCCTATCCCTCCAGCACGTTGAGTCACAGGCGATCTTCAGGTGTGTCGTGACTAGCCTTGTGGTTTTGTAATTGGCTTTTAATTCTCCCTTTACCCGTCTGTGTCATGGCTCTTGCTTTGAATCTGCAGCCTAGACCTCTACTGGATGAGGGCTGCTGAGGAGTAGGGCTGGGCCTAAAAGTCTTTCCCTCTGCTGCCTCAGAGCCGGGGACAAGTCCCTTCCTGCCTCTGCCGGTTTGCCTGGCCTAGAGCTACAGTGAGCTCTAGGTGTCCTGCAGCTTGGGATGACTAAACAAAAGGACTCCAGGCTGGCTGCTAATGGGAGGAGGAAGCGTCTGCGCAGACCTTTCTGGCTAAGGGGTTATCAGTTCTCTAGGTTAGCTGACTCTCGGTCTAGCTTCAGACTGTTGTTTGTTTGGGGAAATGGAGCAGCTAAGTGGCGTCACTGAGGCGGGCGGCTGATATTTTCAGCTGCCCCCAAAGCCACAGAGAGGAGGATTGTACCATCATGTGCTTATTGAGGGCTCACGGATGAAGAGAAGCCTGGCAGCGAACCCTGGGCCGTATATAGCATAATGTCTCAGAAAGCCTGGTGAGTGTGGCCATCTCACCCCAAACACACCTAGTCTCTTCTGCTCTGGGAAGTTAAGCCCTCCGGAGGAGGAGGAGCAAACCTTGTCTCTGAAGATCCTGATTTACCTACACTCTGATGACAGATGTACTGAGCACTCTGTGCCTGGTCATTTAGAATAGAATGTTCTTTACCCTTCCATTTCTCATGGAACTTCCCAAATATGGTTTCTCTTGTTGCAAATGGTGAAGCTGGGGTTAAGCCAGCTGGTATGACTGGGACCGTTGTAGATGTGCAGCCCTGGGGAGAGTTGTCTGGTAGCCCCACTTTAGAAGGGGAGGGTGCCTGGTACTGCCAGGGCTGAGGATGTACAGCCCTCCTTTGTATGAGTGATGGCTTGTGGTTCATGAACCTGTGCACACTCCAGAGACCAAAGAGCATCACTATCATGCTACACCCTGTTCCCCTGAGACAGGGTCTCTAAGCTGAGGCTGGTGGCTGACAGGCCCCAGCAATCCTCTTCCCTGACCTCCACAGCACTAGGATTACAACTTTTTAGTGGGTGTGGGGATTTGAACTCAGGTCCTCATGCATGCACAGCAAGCACTCTTACTCACTGAGCCCTCTCCTCAGCCCTCACAAAACAGAATTGAGTAAGGGGCTGGAGAGAGGGCTCAGCAGTTAATATTAATAGCACTTATTGCTTTTGCAGAGGACCTGCCTTTGGTTCCCTGCACCCAAATAGTAGCTTGCAACCATACATTAACTCCAGTTCTTGAGGATCTGGCAGCACCTTCTGACTTCGATGAGCACTAGACGTGCATGTGCTACACATACATACATACATACATACATACATACATACATACATACACACATACATACATACATAAAAAGTAAAAAGAAAAAAAGATTTGAGTAGAGCTGACGCTCATTATTCATGAATTCCTATTGTGAATTGCCTATTCATTAAAATCTGTAACACACAAATCCATTCTTGCAATGCTTTTACAGCTTTTACAGTTTGGAAACACAGTGTCAGAAAGTTCTAGTGGCCTGTCAATGTGTTCCCAGATGAGGCTGAAGGATTCAGCCCCATTCCTTCCTTCAGCTCATATAGTCGGTCTGTCCAGTGGCCAGTGTGCTGTGCCTTTTGGTTCTCTTGGTGAGACTGCGGTTTAAGAGATCTCCCCAGGCATTGTTTTAGGATGCTGTGTAGTGTTCCTAAGAGCCAGCGTCCTGGATTTCACTCCGGAATAGTATTTGATAAACAAAAGGGGGAGATGCTGCAGGAGCGGAAGGTACTCCCGCAGCATCTGTCGACTTGAAGAAGGAGCTGAATTAGGGAATTGCCTCCATCAGATTGGCCTGGGGATGCATCTGTGGGGCATTTTCTTGACTGAGGATTGATGTGGAAGGGCCTAATTCACTGTGGGCAACTCTGGGCAATGCCATCCCTGGGCAAGTGGGGCTGTAGAAGAAGAGAAGCTGAATGAGCAGTAAGCAGCATCCCTCCTTGGTCTCTGCTTCAATTTCTGCCTCAGTTTCCCTTGATGGACTGTGAGCTGTGAGCCAAATAAACCCATTCTTCCCCAGGTTGCTTTTGGTCAGGGCTTTAGCACAGCAGCAGAGAAGCAAACAAGGACACGCCTTTCCCTTGCCCATGTCGGTGTCCTCGCGCCTTCCCCTCACCCACTGCCCACTTCGGCGTCCTCTGGCATCTTCCTTGCCAGGTTGCCCTCAGCGACCTTGTCCACAGTCCTGTACAATCAGCATTCCTGACAATGCCTGCTTGCTTCCTGTATTGTCTTTCTTGCTCAAGCCCCCAAGAGTTGGGTGACCCGACTGTCCTCAGTCCATGCCAGGCCCCAAGAGAGCCTGTCTTGTTTTGAGTGTCAGGTAAACTGGTACATTATGAGTCTGGGGTCTCATCCCCACTAAGAGCCCCACACATGTGCGTTTGGTGATCACTTAATGGTGTCCCAGGGGTGTATGACATATGTAAATCCTACTGTAAAAGAAAAGGAATCTCAGCTTCGGCATGTTCTCCTCTTCCTATGGAGGGAAGCTACACCACCATGCACATACTAGCTTGGAGAACAGGGTCACCTGGTCCCTAACCTATGCCTCATGTCCCTACCCACACCTCTAGCATCTCCAGCCTGATGGGGCTGACGTGGCCTCTGACCACCTGCCAGTCCTCCCATCAGAAAGACCAGTCTCACATACTCAGTCCCCAGTGGCGTCCCTCCAGTCTCAAGCCCTTAGCTTTTCAGGAACCAGGACTGTGATCCCTAGTGCTAGCAGGAAGGTCGGCGTGTGATAGTAACTGTCTGGGAAACAAGGAAATCACAGAGAATGAAAAGCCAAAGGGAACTTCTTCAAGCTTGGAACATGAATGTGTCAGGATGCCTGTCTATCTGCAGGAAGTTGCCCGACAGTTGAAACACATGTGCAGCGAAGATGGAACTTCAGGATCCATTGAGATGGCTCAGTGGGTAAAGGTACCTGCTGCCAGACCCCCGGAATGCACACAGCGGAAGGTGACAACTAGCCTCTGCAAGCTTGGAATCCCAGCTCTTGGGAGGTGGAGGCAGGGAAATCAGGAGTTCCAAGTCAGGGCCAGCATGGGCTACATGAGACCTTGTCTTAGAAAAAAGCTAATAAATAAGTAGGCTCCCCAGTGATAGCCTCAAATTTTTGATTCATTACCATTCTAATTCATAAGGGCAGGGGAAATGGGGGAGGGTCCAGTAATCAGGAGAATTGGGCTGGCTAGAGACGGCATTTGAGCAGGAGTCTTGGGTGATTTCTTTTCTTCCTACCTTGAGAAATGCTGAATTTTAACAAGTATCTTTTTTTCTTTCTTTAAATTTATTTTTGTTTTATTGTGACAGAGTCGGTTTTAGGGTTCTATTGCTGTGAAGAGACACCATGACCACATACATACATTCAGGCTGGCATAACACATGGTTTGAGTAAGAATGACCCCCATAGGCTCATATATTCAAATGTTTGGTTCCTAACTAATGGGCTGTTCAGGAAGGATTAAGAGGTGTGGCCTTGTGTTGCTGGGGTGGGCTCCGAGGTTTCAAAGTCTACACCATTCCCAGTGTCTGCTTCCATCTTGTGGGTAAGATGTCTGCCACCATGTTTCTTGCCATGATGGCCTTGTACTAACCCTCTGAAACTAAGAAAGCCCCCAATTAATTGCATTTTTATAAGTTGCCTTGGATGCCTTTAACCTTAGCACTTTGGAGACAGAGGCAGGCAGATCTCTGAGTTAGAAGCCAGTCTGGTCTACAGAGTGAGCTCCAGGACAGCCAGTGCTATACAGAGAAACCCTGTCTCAAAAAAACCCAAATAAATTGCCTTGGGCTGGGCAGTAGTAGCACACTCCTTTAATCCTAGCACTTGGGAGACAGTGGCAGGCGGATCTTTGTGAGTTTGAGGCCAGCCTGGTCTACAGAAGGAGTTCCAGGATAGCCAGGACTAAAGAAAAAAAAATGTTTCTCATGTATATGCCCACAAGTTGACAAATTTTTTTAGTTTTTTTTTTTTTTTTAGATATATGTGTATGTTTCACCTACATGTATGTATGCATACCACATCCTCCAGTACCTGTGGAGCCAAAAGAGGGCATTGGGTCCCCTGGAACTGGAGTTACAGGTGGTTGTGAGCCACCATGTGGGTGCTGGGAACAGAGTTCATGTCCTCTGGAAGAACAGCAAATGGTCTTAATCGCTGAGCCATCTCTCCAGCCCTAACAGGAGGAATGGCACTTCTGGGACTTGCAGATCCAAGCCTGGCTCTGCAGGACCAGGGCCTTGGCTGCTTCCCAAGGCCGCACAGAAGGGGGTTATGTAGAAACTGCTTTCCCTCCTGGCCCAAGAACCAAGCAGACTTTCTTTTTCCCCTTTGGAACTTAATTTCTGTTTACTCTCTGGCGTCCTCCACTAAAGTGAGCTGTAATTACCATATATTAGCATGTATTTCCATAAAGAGAACACTCTTAGAAATCAACCTGGAGGGAGTCCAGAGAGGCCCTTTTCAGCTTCCTCATTCCATAGAATGTAGTAAATGTTTACTGAAAGCCAAGCAAGTGTTCAACCCGGAATTCCAGAGACAAGAGAGGCTGGGGTATGATGGAGACCGGATGCTGGGGGCTTTGAGGGCCTCTCAAGGGGATCTTTCACCATGGAGTGTGGACTGGAAGGAGGTTAGGAGAAGGCCCTGGCAGTGATGCCCCCAGAGGGGTCAACATCCTGACTTGGTGGCTGGGGAGGACAAGACTCCAGAGATGGCTCAGTGGTTGTGAGCAACTGCTGCCCTTGTAGAGAATGGAGTTTGAGTCTTAGCACCACATCAGGCAGCTCACAACCAGCCACCTGTAACTCCAGCTCCAGGGATCCAACTTCCTCTTCAGGTACCCTCACACATCCTCATGAGAGAGGGAGAGTGTAATGATTGTTGTGTCTCTTTAAGAGACAAGCCACGCCCACTGCCCCCATCTGCTGAGGCAGGCTGATCTTCAGCTTCAGGCCTGAGCTTGCGCTCTTTTCCAGCTTCCTCTCTGAGAGGCAGCTTCACTTCTACCCCTCTCCCCTCCTTCTCTGTCTCTCTCTCTCTCCCCCGTCTCTCTCTCTTTCCCCCCCCACTTCTCCCTTCCCCCTCTATAACCCCCTGAATAAATATTCAACCTCACTCTACATGTCATGTCTATCCATGTCTCTGTCTCTTGCCCGCCCGCCATGTGTCTCCCTGCCTGGGACCGGCAGCCGTCTCTGCCTGGGACTGCTGGGACTGGCTGCTCCCAGGGCCCGCTGCCTGCTGCCACATGGGCCGCTACCACCGTTTGGGGACCTACAGGATTTCTGCTGCCTACTGCCGCCGGGAATCCTGCAACATTTTTAATTTTTCCATTACAGAGAGCACACACAAAATTAAAAATAAATCCAAGACTGGAGAGATGACTCAGTGGTTAAGAGCACTGACTGTTCTTCCAGAGGTCCCTGAGTTCAATTCCCAGCAACCACCCGGTGACTCACCGGGTGAGATTATAGAATCTCATCTATAATGGGATTTGATGTCACCGGTGACTCACGGTGAGATTATAGAATCTCATCTATAATGGGATTTGATGCCTTCTTCTGACGTACAGGTTTACATGCAGATAGAGCACCATATACATAAAATTAAAAACAATTTAAAGCTGGACGGTGGTGGCGCACACCATTAATGCCAGCACTTGGGAGGCAGAGGCAGATGGATCTCTGTGACATAGTTCAGGACAACCAGGAGTGTTACACAGAGAAACCTTGTCTTTAAAAAAAAAAATAGGTGAGAACAATAACGGATCTTAGGGGTGATTTATTTGGTAGAATGCTTGCCTACTTGAAGCCCGGGGTTCCATCCCCAGCACCATATAAACCGGTGGTGACAGGGCATGCCTATACGCCTGATTCTTGAGAAGTAGAAGGGTACAAGGTGAGGCATTCAAAATCAAATACTTTAACTACATAGCAAGTTTGAGGCTAGCCTGGGCTACATGAGAGAACCTGTCTCAAAAAATAAAAACTCCAAGTGATACCACTGAGATACCTTCTCATTCTGAACGAGAAGGCAGCTGGAAGGTCTCCAGCCAGGAGGGGTGGAGGTGAAAGAGAGAAGGGTGGGTCTCAGGAAGACCCAGGAAGGGAACTGGTGGGACCGTAAAGTGAGTAAGAAAGATCAGAGTAGGTAGTATGATTTGCTGCTCCTCCCCCCACCATCTAAGCAGTCTAACCCCCCAGATCCTAATAGCATTATGAGGGGGGAAACTTAGACTACCTATGTGTTCAGGGTGAGCCTTTGGAAAGTGATTAGGTCATTAGTGTGGAGCCCC